ACAACTATGGAAGAAAGGTCATAAAATTGGGCAAAACTCACTTAACAACTCTCTCGCTTAGCAACATAAATTTTGGACTTAATTGTAGTCATAATTGTACCACTACCTGTGCCCTAGTCGGGGTCTCTATTTCTCGTCACCTGCATTATTGGTGTCTGGGAAGAGGACAGTCAGATGACACCGGCAAAACCAGACCAGGAGGAACCTTTTTATGGTTGTAGGATCATTGTAGCACTCACAGTTCCAGTTTCTGTGTGAATATGTGGACAACGTGAACAACTACAATGATTGCTGGGTGGAAGGAAAGTAAGTTGCATGTTGTTTGCATATTTGACAAGAAATTGGCCACATTTGAAATGCCAATTTCCTGTTTTGCAAGTCCTTTAAGAAGAATAAACAACAGTTTTTGTATAGCTAACAGGTGTATCTGGACCAACACATAATTGTGTATTCTTGCATGTAGTAGGGCTGGTGGTTTGGCTCAGTTGTAAACACAGTTCTGCTTTTTCCCTGTCATTAGTATTTCAGCCTTCAATTTTAATTAATTGAGCATTTAATTAAATGTAATTCCTCATGAACTCACTTCACTAGGCTCATTAGTTCATGATAAACGAAATTGGGGTAAAATGCCTACTTAATATCTCTGGAATTGACCTAAGTGTGTTGTGTATTTGGTATTCTACCGAATGAACAAACTCCTAATCGTACATACTAAAAATACCTTCTCACTAAACATTTGACCCCAAATAACAATTAAGTTATTTAGTATCAATTCGTCTAGTACTGTTATAGCATGATATATTTTTCATGTTATGTGAACAAATGAACTTTATATATTGTTTATTCTCATACTCATTCTCTTTCTCTCTCTTCATATATCACAGTGCTCTGTAATATGTTCTGTTTGATTTTACCTTGGAATGTTGTGTGAACCCAGCCAATTGCAGTTCATTCAATAAATAAAGAATTATTTACCGCAATGTGTTAACTTAAGAATTATGTTCAGTATCAACTCAGTGTGTTTGAAGCAAGTGTGGAATATTTTATGAGAATCTGTCTGGATTCATACATCCACTCAAACACATGAATTCCCTGAAGGACAGAGTAAATCAGAATTTTTTTCTATCAGGAAATAGCTTTCCTATCTGGTTATTTCCATTACTTAACAATTGGAAATGTGCAGATTAACAGCAGACATGATACAGATGAAGTTTATTAGCAGTACAGCTATGTAGTTACCATAAAGTTACTTTGACGAAGTGAAGTCCCATGATACAAGATATTTATAAACTCTGGGGAAAATCCTAGTTAAATAAAAACAAGAAAATTATACAAGCATTATCCAATCAAGCCAGATGAATCATTTCAAACAGGAAAATGCTTTTAAAAATAAGGAAGGCTTACTTCTCTAAAACCCGTGCAGAGATCCGATGTAGGGGTTAGCACACATTGGGTCTAAACCAGTGGTGGCGAACCTATGGCACGGGTGCCAGAGGCGGCACTCAGAGCCCTCTCTGTGGGCACGCGTGCTATCGCCCCAATCCTAGGCCTTCAGCTGGGTTTTATAAAACCTTTAGGCCTCCGCTGCCATGTGCAAAAAAAAAAAAGGTTCAATCAATCAGTCAATTTCAACTTCTCGTGGGAAAAAAAAGATCTTGCAAAGTTGGAATTGATTGATTGAACTTTTTAGTCCCACCCAGTCTGCCGTTACCACCGCAGCCACGCCCACCCAGTGGGCCATACCCCCCATTTGGCCACACCCAGCCAATGGGCCACACCCACCTGGCACCCGACAATGCATAAGTAGGTTTTCGGTTGCAGTGTGGGCACTCGGTTTCTAAAAGGTTCGCCATCACTGGTCTAAACAGTGTTTACCCACCTACTCAAGACTCTGTGGAAAACTAAACTGAGTTAAATAGCATGGGAGGTTGAGTCTCTCTTCACCTGCAGCAATAGGAACTCTAGTGCAGAGGTCCCCAACCTTTTGGGCACCAGGGACCAATGCCATGGAGAAAGGTTTTTCTGCGGACCAGAGTGGGTGTGGTTTTGAATACTGCCTGCATCCTAAGGATGGAGTTTTGCTTGTTTGTGCAGCCCCTTGTCGGCATGCTGCGGACCGGTGCCGGTCCACAGACCGGGGGTTGGGGACCCCTGCTCTAATGTACAGTTTTATGAAAAAGTAACTGCCCCTTTTTCCATTTTCTCTCATTTCCCCCCAATCTTTATCTCCAAATGTTATCAGAGCTTTATAGGGGTCCTGCTGATATGTAAAGGAAGTCTGAATAAACAAGTAGACAGTGCTTATTTCATACATTTCTTTACAAAATTATGCAGCCTGGGACATATCACTGTGAAACAGTAATTGCCTCCTTAGATTCAGTAATTGGTTGTACTGCCTTTACTATAGTTACAATAACTGCAACCAAGTTTTCATTTCTCTGCCCAAAATATTTCTAATGACACCAAAAACATTCTTGGTAAGTGCATTAAAGAAGCAAGGGAATATCACCCAGTTTTGTCTGCTCAGTGTTGAACCATATATGCTATTTATTCTCATACTGGGTTTCCTTCCATCATATCCCCCTCTTATCTCATTCAGCCACCAATTTTCAACTCTGTGTTTCCATAAAACATTTAATCATTCAGGCTGATTCATTTTATTGTATAACTTTGTTTGTAGCAACAAACGTACTATTTTCTTTCTTGTCTCATTCATACATTTCTCAGTGACCCACCGAAGACAAAAATTTGATCTTTGTATCTCATGTCTGACTTAAGGCCAGACTTCCCAAATTTTGCTTCTGATCACTTGTAGCATTCCTTTAGTAAAAACTCTCCCAAACAAAATTCTTCCCAGGCTAGTTTAAAATCATCGCAAATATTTGTTGAAGTTTTAACAACACTAAGGGGAAATCTCTTTATGGTTCTTCAAATACTTCAAATATTTTGGGATGACAATTCATACAATTTGCCAGCAAACTTAAGGAAAGCTGGCTTAAGGTTTCTAATGCTTTGTGACAACTGGGCTAAAATCTTTCTTGAAGTGAATAATTGTCCTTGTGAGAGAATAAAGCTGTGGCTCTTTTGGTAGTAAAAGAAGCCCTGATCTCTTGAAAGTTGGTAATCTGATCCTCTTTGATTAATAACTTAGAACAATTGTCATGCTTCTCTATGGGTAGACATGCAATTGCACAAATCCATAGTTTCCTGCAACCTGTGAGCCCATCCCACACTAAAGATGAAGCCAACAAGTATTCTTATCATTCCCAGTTAATGTGAGTAATAGAACATAATGTATCACAGTCGGCAAACGTATAAGAATTTGGAAACCGGGAGTAGTTCAGTTTATGGTCAAGTGCTTTTTGATTTAAAAAAAATGGCACAGCTTTTTAGATAAGATATATAAATAGGCTTTCAAGCAAAATGTAAACTAGGAGGGAATAAACTCTTGATAACTTTGTGGGTAGACAGGACGCAGCTGAAGGTCTAAGGCAGGGGTTCCCAACTGGGGGTGCTCGCACCCCTTGGGGGTACGAGACGATATTCCAGGTGGTGCGAAAACTTGGGTTTTTAAAAAAAATTATAGTGTACATGCATAATTCATTGCCATTATTTCAAACTTTTGTAAGAGGTGCGAGAATATATCAGAAGCGTTCTAGGGATGCGGGGCATAGAAAAGGATGGGAACTGCTGGTCTGAGGCTAATAAGGGAAGGAAAAGAATTATGAAATTCAAAATGACAAGTCAGAAGCTGTGCAGAAATTTCCATATGGTTGTGGTGTAATTCCAAAAGAGAAAATTTCTCGAAAGGGTCAACTTCAAACTGCAGGCACCAATGTCAAACCTCCACATTGCTGAGTGAATATTTAAAAGCACTAAATCAGTGGTGGCGAACCTATGGCACGGGTGCCAGAGGCGGCACTCAGAGCCCTCTCTGTGGGCACGCGCACCGTCACCTCAGTCCTAGGCCTTCAGCTGGGTTTTATAAAACCTTTTTGCTTTAGGCCTCCAGTGCCGTGTACAAAAAAAAAGGTTCAATCAATCAGTCAATTTCAACTTCTCGCGGGGAAAAAAAAGATGTTGCAAAGTTGGAATTGATTGACTGAACTTTTTAATCCCACCCAGTCTGCCGTTACCACCGCAGCCACACTCAGCCAATGGGCCACACCCACCCGGCACCCGACGATGCATAAGTGGGTTTTGGGTTGCAGTTTGGGCACTCGGTCTCTAAAAGGTTCGCCATCACTGCACTAATTAGTCACATTAAGTGCAGGTTTTTTATTAGAAAAGTTCACATCAGATTAGAAGGATTCCAGGGTGATAAAGGCTAAAAAAAAACACCTCATAAAAATGATTCTTTTCCAAATGAAAGAATTTAGGAGCATAAATCCATGGGGCAGGTGTTTCTGAAGTCTGTCTTTGCAAGTAAGGCTCATTTTGGAATATTAGAGACTGTAGAGTATGTTGCTTAAGGGGTTTTTCTGAAAGCATTTTTGGAAGTAGAAGTATTCCTCAACGTACAACCATTCATTTAGTGACTGTTTGAAATTACAGCGGCACTGAAAAAAGTTATTTACAACTGGTCCTTGCATTTATGACTGTCTGCATCCCCACGGGTCTCATGATCAAAATTCTGGTGCTTGGCAACTGGCATGTATGTACAATGGTTGTGGTGTCTCAGGGTCACATGATTGCCATTTCTGACCTTCCCAGTGGGCAAAGCAAAGTCAATAGGAGAAACTGAATTCACTTTATGATATGTGAGTCGCTTAACTTCCGTGATTTGCTTAACCACGGTGACAAAAAAGATCATAAAACTGGGCGCGACTCATTTAACAACTACCTTCTTTAGCAACAGAAATTCCGGTCCCAATTGTAAGTCGAGGACTACCCGTATAAAAAGTTGAAACTAAATGAACCTCCTCCATTTTGTTTCAGTGTATGTTTTTTTTTTGTTTTTTTTTTAAAAACAACCCAGAAGAAATCAGTGTTTGCTCCAATATCTATAAAAATCAGTTACACAAAAATTCTTCTGGCGGTGGAGGAAGTAACACTGTTTCATCGACATTTTGTTGGGACAGATCAGGTGATAGAGAGCACTGGATCTCTACGTGTTGTTCCATGGGATAGGATTTAGGAGTAAAAATATCCCCATTGACTCCACTGGGCCAGCTGGACAAAGGAAGATCTTGTAGCCTTGGACTCTCAGGCTGGAGTGAAATGCCGGTTAAGTTGTTTAGTTCCTCGGAAATTTGGGTTTGGTTGCTGGTTGAAGAATCCAAGGTTGCCGTGGCAGTGTGGCTTGACTCGCTCTCTGTACCTGCCTCACCAGATCCGTGTGGAACATCCAAGGTCTTCCTTGATTCTGACAGTTGTCCTTCTGCATTTTCCAGCAGTTGTGTGTCCTTGCTAAATTTCCATGGCAAAAGAGAGAGAACGGACATCCGCTTTATACCTTGCACAGGTTCCTTATCTACCGTAAGGTCAGGCATGTCTCCATCGGCAAACGGGGAGCGTCCTGCCCAGTGGGGAAGAGGTACATTTGACTTTTTCCGTTGCCTCCAAAGGAAGATGGCAACGATAATCAGGATCATGAGCAGCAAGATGACCCCAATGACCACAGCGGCTATAAAATGTTCATCTGCAAGTTTAGGTTCTTTTGTTGTGGTGGGAAGCTGGGGCTTGCTGGTAGACGATTGCTGTTCATTTTTGATAAGGTCTTTTGATTGACTTCCTTGAAATGGAGAGTTGCGGGGTTCAGCATTGAGCGACACACTTGCAGGCCCCTTTGTCTTTCCAGCGGCGTGGCTCCACCACAGTTGTCCGTAGATGAAAATTAGAACGATGGGCTTGATCGCCATTGCCGAAATTCCGGGGACCTCTTTTGTAGCATTAAGAAGATAAAAGGTAGAAATTAATATCAGCACCACATTTTGCCTTTTGAAGGCCTAGCAGCAACAAATATTTATAAACCAACCAGTGTACTGGGTGATACAGTGGTACCTCGGTACTTGTTGTTAATTGGTTCTGAGAGACACAGTGAATAAATACCAAAAATGGCGAGTACCAAAGTTTTCCCATAAGGAATAATGTAAATAAATTTAATGTGTTCCCAAACCAAAGACAATGCTTATTTTGTAAGGCAATGTATAAAAAGATAGGGTTGTATATCATTACTTTACATGTGAAATAAACCTTAAAAATCAATAAATACTTGGATTAAATAAAATAAAAACTTTACTTTACCTGTATTGATGAGAAAAAAACCCAGCACAAAAATACACAAAATGACCACAAAGCTAAGATAAGACTGCAAGAGGATGTGCACAGAGCAAGAGCTACCATGTGACTAACACATCGCCCTTTGTTTCGGCTGGAAAGAGTCACGAGGCAACTGACACCAACAAGTTCTACCTTGCGCGTTTTATACCAAACAAACGACAAGTATCAGGACAAAATTTTCTCATCAAAATGTGCTAAGTACCAAATTTGCTGACTTTCAAAGCCGTCGGGTACCGAGGTACTACTGTACATGATAGAATAACCAGAATTTTATAAATGTCTGAGGAAACAAAAGTTTACCTTCAACTTATTTGCTGCTTTTAAGGTTATTTGTTTTAAAAATATATTTCACATTTATTTATGGACATCTTTTTTTTAGCCATCCTTCATCCTGGGCACCAAAGCAATAAAACAAAATGTACAGTATAAAATATAAGTTAAGGAGACTATGTCCTTAAATGTATATAATGCAAATAAAAATGAAGGCTTTACAGAAAAAAATGTATATTTGTAAGGGTGGGAAAATGCTTGTACGGGCAACATACCTAAGCATATACTCCATACCAGGGGTCCCCAACCCCCGGTCCATGGACCGGTACCAGGGCGCAGCATGCCAGCAACTGGTCCGCACAAACAAGCAAAGCCCCACCCGCAGGATGCAGGCAGCACACAGAACCACACACGGCCTGGTCTGTGGAAACATCTCTCTCCACATAACCAGTCTCTGGTGCCCAAAAGGTTGGGGACCTCTGCTCCACGCATTTAATAGTTTTAATGGAACTAAAATTACAGCAGTTAGTAAAAGGCAAATTTACACCGAAATGAGAATTTTTGTGAAAGAAAGAAAAGGTAGAACTATATATATATTTAAAAAACCTGAATTAATTCCATAGTGTCTCTTGCTTGAGCAGGAGATTAGAAATTCTCCAAGGTTCCTTCCAGCTCTGTTATTCTACAAATTTGGGACCATATTAAAAATAAACAGACATAGCCCCATCTTGTACCTGTTCAGTAAAAGACCAAAAAGACATTGATCTTTTGAGAGGCAACTTGATCTAGTGGTGAGGATACTGGTCTAGAAACCAGGAGATTGTGAGTTCTAGTCCCCCCTTTAGGCATGAAAGTTGGCTCCCCCCCCCCCGCATGGGTGCAAAATAAGTATAAGAATAGAGCAAGCCTTTTTTTTTTCTTGCGTTGGGTAATTTGCCATTTACAGCAAACAAGTGCAAAGATATAAAACAATTAGCGCCTCACATCAGAGCTTGATTAAAAAGAGATGGCTCCAATGTTTAGATTCATTCAGGAATGAGATGGATGCATATACAAATATATACATCAATGTGTAAAGTCACATTTATGTGTTTATTTATATTTTTATTTTTAAGCTTATATTAGTCACCTGCACCTGAAGAAGCCCGGGTCTTTTTTTTCTGCAGTTCAAGTGGTCTGCCTTTCAAAACAACTAATCCTGGCATTCCCAAACTGAACTTGGGACACCCTTTTGAATAAACACGTATAAAATTCTGCTATAAATGGTGTGACTTGCAGTTAAAGGAACACCACATATGGAAACCATTGAATTTCTGCTTAGTCTTGTTAAAAAATTAAAATTTGCATTTGTAACCCCATCTGCAGAACAAGGTAAAATTTGAAGGGAGATGGCGGACTTCAGAAATTATGAGTTTCTTACTGTCCATTTTTGTGCTCCTATTTGCACTGAACGTTATATACAAACAGATCTAATCACAGATCTAATTCTCTAATTTGGATCCTAGTACTAGAATTTAACCAACTGAAAGTCCCAGTCTCAAAACAGACTTCAATGTGAAATTTTGAGAAAGTAACTTATTTTAATCTATTTTACATGTGGCAGGAAACACATGACAGTTAAATTGCTATTCAGAGGAGTAAAGCATGAACATTTTTTGAGATACAACCTATTCCTATTTTTTTTTCATATTAGTTTGTTGTCCTTTCTTCGCTTTGAGGATCTTTCTTAAGCAAAAGAAGTATAGGTCTGTCTTACCTTTGGGATTTCTCCTGCAATATTTAATCTCTTGTTTATAGCATTAGCTTTTAGTGTTAGAAGATCAGGGAAGTGAGACTGCAGCAAAACACTTTAAATGGTATGGTGGTTTGCATATTGCAAAAGGATCTTAGCCTGACATAAAGAGGAAGTTTATCAGTGGACAGTGCCGGAAGCCCCTCAAATTAAGAAATATTTAAACATTTCAGTATAGCTGTTTCCACAGACGAAAGAGAGAACACCAAAACTCCTGCCAAAAAGTTAAGAACAGTAGGAGGAATAATAATAATAATAATAATAATAATAATAATAATAATAATAATAATAATAATAATAATAGTAAAGTTGGAAGGGACCTTGAAGGTCATCTAGTCCAACCCCCTGCTCAGGCAGGAAACCCTATACCATTTCAGACAAATGGCTGTCCAGTTTCTTCTTAAAAACCTCCAGTGTTGGAGCATTCACCGCTTCTGGAGGCAGGTTGTTCCACTGGTTAATTGTTCTAACTGTCAGGAAATTTCTCCTTAGTTCTAGGTTGCTTCTCTCCTTGATGAGTTTCCATCCGTTGCTTCTTGTCCTGCCTCCAGGCGCTTTGGAAAATAGCTTGACTCCCTCTTCTTTGTGGCAACCCCTGAGATACTGGAGCACTGCTATCATGTCCCCTCTCGTCCTTCTCTTCGTTAAACTAGACATACCCAATTCCAGCAACTGTTCCTTATATGTTTTAGCCTCCAGTCCCCTAATCATCTTTGTTGCTCTTCTCTGTACTTTTTCTAGAGTCTCAGCATCTTTTTTACATCCTGGTGACCAAAACTGGATGCAGTATTCCAAGTGTGGCCTTACTAAGGCATTGTAAAGTGGTATTAACACTTCACGTGATCTTGATTCTATCCCTCTGTTAATACAGCCTAGCAATGTGTTGGCCTTTTTGGCAGCTGCAGCACACGGCTGGCTCATATCAAGAAGCTATTATGAAGTTGGGTGAAAAATGTTAGCATAACTATACATTATGTATTTCTATTTTTTTTCTCTTACAAGACAAAGGATTTCCTACTTGCTTGCTTGCACCATTTCCTTGCATCACTTCTTATGAGAATATCATTCATCTCTCGCAGCTTTCTCTCAGGAGTCTTAATAAAGGTTAGGGGGTGTGTTTCCGAACTGATCTGTTTTGACAATCACAGTTCTTGTTGGGGTCCTTGGTGGTCTCTAAGATTATTTTCTTGCAGACATTTCATTACCAAACTAGGTAACATCTTCAGTGCTAGAAGGGAGAGGGGTTTGCTCTCCTTGTATATACCAGTGGCTTGCCCTGTCAGTGTTGATGGAGTGTTGATGGAGGGAAGTGTGTAGTGGGGTGTCCCAGGCCTCTGTTCTGGGCCCAGTGCTCTTCAACATCTTCATCAACGATTTGGACGAGGGGGTAGATGGGGAACTCATCAAATTTGAAGACGACATCAAGCTGGCAGGAATAGCCAACACTCCAGAAGACAGGCTTAGGATACAGAAGGATTTTGGCAGACTTGAACACTGGGCCCTATCTAACAAAATGAAATTCAATGGTGAAAAAAGCAAGGTTCTACATTTAGGCAAGAAAAACCAAATGTACAGGTATAGTATAGGGGGTACCTTGCTCAATAGTAGTAACTGTGAGAGGGATCTCGGAGTCCTAGTGGACAATCATTTAAATATGAGCCAGCAGTGTGCTGCAGCTGCCAAAAAGGCCAACACAGTGCTAGGCTGCATTAACAGAGGGATAGAATCAAGATCATGTGAAGTGTTAATACCACTTTACAATGCCTTAGTAAGGCCACACTTGGAATACTGCATCCAGTTTTGGTCACCACGATGTAAAAAAGATGTTGAGACTCTAGAAAGAGTACAGAGAAGAGCAACAAAGATGATCAGGGGACTGGAGGTTAAAACATATAAGGAAAGGTTGATGGAATTGGGTATGTCTAGTTTAACGAAGAGAAGGACGAGGGGGGACATGATAGCAGTGTTCCAGTATCTCAGGGGCTGCCCCAAAGAAGAGGGAGTCAAGCTATTCTCCAAAGCGCCTGAAGGCAGGACAAGAAGCAATGGATGGAAACTAATCAAGGAGAGAAGCAACCTAGAACTAAGGAGAAACTTTCTGACAGTTAGAACAATTAACCAGTGGAACTACCTGCCTCCAGAAGCGGTGAATGTTCCAACACTGGAAGTTTTTAAGAAGAAACTGGACAGCCATTTGTCCAAAATGGTATAGGGTTACCTGCCTGAGCAGGGGGTTGGACTTGATGACCTCCAAGGTCCCTTCCAACTTTATTATTATTATTATTATTATTATTATTATTATTATTATTATTATTATTATTATTGTTGTTGTTGTTGTTGTTGTTGTTGTTGTTGTTGTTATAGTCTTGGTGGTGTTTCCTTGATTAACCCGTTATTTACTGTTAGCTCATTGATACTTCCTTGATTGAGGTATTATTCGTTGTTGGTCTTGTATTAATCTTGGAGTTAATCTCTGCCTATCTGGGTGTTGATTGCTGGCCAGGAGGTGTGTAGTCT